CTGGAGTTACGTGCAAAATTCATTAAATTCGTTAATAATATTAATAAACTAAGGGTGATGCGACTATAATATATTCATTAATTCTAATATATGCAGTGTTTTATTATTGAATGCATCGAAATTCCTAATAATATTTGTATGTATCGATCATGTATAGCAGTAAAATAAAAAAAACTCCGAAACTGTTTTGCATTTAGAAGCTTCCGTTTATTTCCAGTGAACTGTAAATTCTGGGAAGTNCTGGAGTTACGTGCAAAATTCATTAAATTCGTTAATAATATTAATAAACTAAGGGTGATGCGACTATAATATATTCATTAATTCTAATATATGCAGTGTTTTATTATTGAATGCATCGAAATTCCTAATAATATTTGTATGTATCGATCATGTATAGCAGTAAAATAAAAAAAACTCCGAAACTGTTTTGCATTTAGAAGCTTCCGTTTATTTCCAGTGAACTGTAAATTCTGGGAAGTTCTAAGTATGCACGTGGAAATCATAATATCAGATCAGAAAGATAGGTGTCTATGGGCATAGGATTGCTATTCTTTCGGACCTGTAATTTAATCCCCGGTACACATTTGCTATACTACTGACACGATGGCGATAGATCGAACATTTTCGAAAGTTAGTTGCATTTATTAAAATGTATCGCGAACAACATCCGATGACATTACGACCGTCCTTAAGAGATAGAGCTTTTTTTGCATTGCGAACAGACGCGTCTGTGACAAATTTCACACGTGATAGTGAGTTAAGTGTTAGTCGACCATCGGCCACCGGTACGTGCGGGTTGCAGAGGCATGCATCCTGCCTTCTAACGCGGAACCGTTTAAAAAGAAATCGGTGTTAAGTTCACAAGAAGATAATCGACACACAGGAATTATAAAACAGGTATAAACTTCACTTTTTCCGTTAATAAATATTTATATTTTAAACGCGATTACTTAATTTATTAGATATCAATTATTTCCTCGAATAACGGAGGCGCTTGATTTCACATTATCGTAATATCAAGTATACACGATACGGCGGTAAATTGTTTAGCTATTTGCTAAAATTGAAAACAACATAAAAATAAAATGTCAACTTCGTTATTCGAAAGTTTTGAAAATGAATCGTGACTTAAAATGATGTCTTAAAATGTCTATATGGAAATTGTAGGATACGCGTCATGTAGTTAGTTGACAGTTTGAAGTATAGTGCATACAAGGTAATCCGGAAAAAATTTCAAATTTAACGGTTAGTTTGCCACGGACGCGAACTTCACACGGTGCATTCTGTAAACATTCGTTCTTTGCGCAGTTGATCCGTTTCGCAGATTACGCTACAATATATGTTAAGCTTCCGATTGATACCACATTGTAGAATATCTTTAATATGTATTGTCCCATATGCTTTTGCTCTCTATCTATATTCATCGTAAGCATTTTCTGTGACGCGTAGTATCTGCTGTCAGTACCTGCGTGTGTCATTCAATACGTCGCGACTAGCGCATAGATTCACGAAAGCATTAGCGTTAATCGACCTTTACGACGTTAAACGGTTCGAATAATTCAGTACTTTTGAAATTTTGTTTTCCGTCGACGTGAAACTAATCGCCGACGAGGACAACGCGATTAAAAAGAAAAGTCTGTCAAGTAAACGATATCTTTCATTCTTTGATACGAAGTAACAAACAATTGGCGATAAAATAAAAGTACACCGTGACTTATGCTCGCCATTAAAGCGTTACGAAATAACAAGTATATGCAAATGTGTATTTTTATAGAAAATCGATAGCGTGACTTTTTTACAATACGATTTTAGCATAATCAGAATCAATGGCGTGCTCACATAGCACCGAAACGCTGTGAAACTTGAATATGTACGTTTAATAATTGTTTCTACCGACACATCAGAAAGTTGTGATACGTATTTTTAACGTACTTCGACACGCGTCCACCGCATCTAAGCGCATCGACATTCGCAGTTCAATCATGATTTCAAAGGTCCTTGACGATTCGTATCAGGTTACGCAGGGGATAGATCGAAGTAGTTTTTACCCCTTAACGCACAGCTTTTTTGAAAAAAAACCGGCCGAAAAAGATCAATTTTTTTTCATGTGTGCGCTACGTATTATGCGCTTTTGTTCCATGGAAAAAGGCTATATTTTATTCTTGAATAAATAAGTGTTCCAGCTTACAATCATCCGATGTAATTGATAAATATCAATAAAACGATTGTTTTTTCTTTGCTTTCGCATTGTTATTTTCAATTTTCGATTATATTCGAGTGTGAAAAATTATAGCAGCATAAAATACAACGCCGCTCGAATTATCTCGAGTGTGCACAGTTTGGCCTGTTTAGCGCGCTCGAATTAACTCGAGCGTATAAGTTAAGGGGTTAAACAAACATATTCGTTCTCTGCCGTCGTATAGGCAAAATGGAAACAGTTTGTTGCGCGCACGAAACTCTCGCGCGCACTTGTTCGACCACGTGCGAACCCCTGTTGCCTTTTTCCGTTTCTGCCTACCTGCGGCCTCCTTCTCCGTATGCGCCGGCTCCTGCCTCTTTCTCAAGGGGTTCCACGAACTCCGCCAACAAAACCATTTTCGTGCCTGGACCACGCACGGGACACCGAAAACGGTCCGCAAAATTGGACCGGCCGTGGCTACTGCGCGGGCGCGAACTGCGACTACACTGGGTTTTACTCCTACTTAATTAATTTAACCTTTTTCTACCTTCCAAAGCAACAAGTTAATGTTGCATATTGTACCCTCGATTTTCTTGTCGATAAGAGTAATAATAGAATTTCTATTCCGATCCTCGCTAACCGATCAAGCTGCGACCCGAAATCGTGCCCGAGTAGGACCCGCTATCCCGTATTAGACGCGCGTACACTGCTTGCCGACCCATTTAACGGTGATTTCGTGTCGCGAATGCCCGCGAGGGTGCGGTTCGCTCCAGTTCGACGGTCCTTTTTATCCTCGTTACACTTTCGAAACGATCTACGCGGCAAACAAGCTGCCGGCCATGGAATTTCGAGGTACATAATTCCACTGTAATTTGCTACCACGGTAGTCGTGTGACGAACAAAAAGAAAGAGACCAGGGCTCTCTGTTCCCCGCGCGAAAAAGAGAAGACCGTTTCTTTGTGTCCGGCAACCTCGCCGCTGTGCACAACCTACTACGCGATTCGTTGGAAAGATCGTTACAATGTCGCGTCGTGTTTTGATCGTCGCATTTGGCATGCACGTTGCATGCTCGTGGAAAGTGACATAATTCCTCGGTCAAATAGGTGCGCACCTCTGCGACGGGCGTAATATCGATCGGACTGCGAGTAGATCCATTGGGTTGGCAACTAAAGTAATTGCCGATTTGTTCAATGAAATAAAAAATTTTGTTTTTACTTGGAATGAAGTTTAATCTGTAATGTATTAAATTAGCTTCGAGTGCAAAGGGTTAATAATTAAATATCTAATAAGTATTTAAATGTCTAAATATCCAATCTAAAATATCTAGTAAATATCTGATAATTTAAATATTAAATACATAAGTGTAATCGTGTACATTTGTGGTCCACCTGCGCCAATAGGTACGTATTGGGTTGGCAACCAAGTAATTGACGATTTGTTCAATGAAATAAAAGTGTTTTTTTTACTTGGAACGAAGTTTAATCTGTAATGTATTTTCCATTTTGTTCGATGACCTTTTGCCGTCTCTCTGATAACTTGAAAATTCCACGCTCGTAGAAAGTCCGATCCCTTTCGGCCAAAAACTGAGTTAAGTGAGATTTGACAGCGTCGTCGTCGTTAAAAGTTTTACCACGAAGGGAGTTGTCCAGGGATCGAAATAAGTGGTAATCCGATGGCGCGAGATCAGGGCTATATGGTGGGTGTAACATCAATTCCCAACCAATATCCATCAATTTTTGCCGAGTGGACAAAGACGCGTGCGGCCTGGCATTGTCCTGCTGGAAAATGACACCTTTACGATCGACCAATTCTGGTCGCTTTTCCTTGACCGCTGCATTCGATTTGTCCGGTTGCTAACATTCACGGATAATAAAAAATAACATAATAATAATAATAATAATTTTATAATATAACATTTACGGATATCATAAAAATGGGAGCGAAAGGCATCTATAACTGAAATCGGCAATTACTTAGTTGCCAGCCCAATATTATGATTGCGTGAAAATTCAGCCGATTATTAGCGTACTGGAAAACTCAGTTCAAACGCTAGAAGAATGGGGTTTAATAATAGCATCTTCGAGCTTGCTTCGTGAACCGACCTCGTGTCATTATTCATAACGTACGTATGTACATGTATAAATCAGAACTTAGGGTATTATAATAAAGCGTGCCCCGGCAGTATCTACAGGGTGTCCCAAAAATGTCTCGCAATCCGAGAATAGGAGGTTCCTGAGATGATTTGAAGTAAGTTTGTCCTCGGTGAAAATGCAATCCACGGCTTTGTTTACGAGTTATTAACGAAAACGAGTGACCAATGAGAGGTGAGATATGCCGCCGAGCGCTAGGCGAGCTCGCCTCTCATTGGTCAGTGTTTTTCATGAATAATTCGTAAACGAAGCCACGGGTTGCATTTTCGCTAAGGAAAAAGTTGCTTCAAATGATCCCAGGAACTTCTTATTTCCAGTTTGCGTGATATTTTTGCGACACCCTGTATAGATACGTTTTATCATGGCAACCGAGGTGAACGTCTCCGCATTATGTACTATAAATGCTAATAAAATGAACCAGGCGCACTATTTAACCCTAGCAGCCTGTTGCAGCCTCGCAGAGCGACGCGATGTGTTTGACACGTTCTGACCGGTCAAGCCGGTATAAATCGTAAAAGATGCGTTGGAAGCTTTATTTGTTTAGTTAATTGGACCGATCTCTAGCTACGGTATTGCGATCGTCGTTGTACCATGAAATGATTAGATTATTTTATGAATAAACGAGCTCGAACACTCGAAAGCCTCGGGAAGTCGAGACCATTACTTAACACTGTCATCAATTATGTATTTGACTATCGTAAATTAATGTATATACGTGCGCGATACTGGTTCGAAGAATAATTTAGCATAATTCGGAAACCCACCCGAGCGCGACTGTACATATCTTTTTGCCTTGTCGAAACGTGTGCGCCGACACGCTGGCAATTATTGCGGAACAAGTTTCGCGATTGTGTTGGCTCGTTTTTTAGGGCCCTTCCGTTCTCGAACCTTGACAAAGTGAAACGTACACGTAAAAGTCCTGTTCAGCTTTTTCATTTTTCTTCAAGCGTCGATAAGTCCTGGTGCTGAAGATCGGCTCCACCCCGCAAGTCTCGAATATCATGGAGAGCACGCTGACGGAATTCGAGGAAAGTCTGTCCTTCGACATCGACGACCCGGACTTCGCCCCCTCGAATCCCTGCGGCATCGCTCAAAATGTCCTTCGCAGCGTCCAATTTCCCGACATCGCGTTCGGCGTCAACAAATGTAAGTAGACACAAAATGATGGCGGAACGAATCGCGGTATCTCCGGCATATTATGTACCGGGCGGCGGTGTCGAGACGTCGACTTCGTCGACACCCTTCGCTCCACCCGATTTCTGCTAACACCTTCGGCGGTTTCATGCGCGTTACATTAACCCATTAATCTTATTTGACACGAAAAACCGCGCGGAGAAATAACGTAAATTTTGCATGGGGTCAAATGACAAATCGCGGTAAAGAATTTTTCTCGGTAAGAATTGTTGTAATGCAAACGTTTAACTAGCCGTTTGCTCGTTAACACGCTGAACGTACCAAGAAGCTGGGTCAAAATGACCCCATTCAAAATTTACAATAAAATCGTTTACATTCACTGTTGTCTCTTTCGTGCTCATCCGACTAAATTCATCTAAATACTTTTTATATATTATCTGATTATTCAATTTCTATATTTCTATATTATAATATATGATAATATATATAGAAATATAGAGAAATTGAATAATCATATATAAAATAATAATATATATAATATAATATATATAATAAATAATATTCTAATATATATTTCTATATACATATTATATAATAATATAATATATATAAATAGAAATATAGAAATTGAATAATCAGATAATATATAAAAAGAATATAGAAGAATTTAGTCGGATGAGCGAAAGAGATAACAGTGAATGTAAACGATTTTATTATAAATTTTGAATGGGGGACGCAGCTTCTTGGTACGTTTAGCGTTTTAACGAGCAAATGGCTAGTTAAACGTTTGCATTACAACAAAATTAAACGAAGAAATTTATTTAATCGATTCTGGAATGTTGCTCGACTCGAATAATCGATCAGTTAAGTTTTTCGTAAATATGTTAGCAACGAGGGTGTCTCTGAATGACAAAACGATCGATTACCGCGAAGAGAAGAATAACTTCCGTATAAAAAGCGGCGACATTTCCCCAGTTATTTTCTACGCATTGTCGCGCGCACTAATTTTAGATCGGTTTTGGAGATTTACAATTCTAGGCAGGGTGACGCAACGTGTTGCGTCTCTTTGCCACAATGGGTTTGTGTGTCGCGAGTGTCGCATATGTATTTTCATTAGTTTATTCTTCGTTTTCGATGGTTTCTTCTGCGAGCCGTGCCGTAGACTCGGAGCGATAAAAAACCTGGAACTACCGTACGGTTTTGTCGCCAGTTTGGTTCTAGTTTCAACTAATCGACACGCTCGCGCCGTCCAGTTTAAAGGAAACACGTATGCAGGCTAATTAGGCCACTTAAGGCTAATTAATGGTCCAAAATAAAGCAGCGTGTATCTTATTTCTAATACGTTCGTTGCAATACAAATGATTTCTAATTCTTTTTTCATGGTATAATTTATTTCTAATATATTTATCACGGTACAATTTATTCACAATATATTTATCATACATAGTTATAATTTATTTACAATATATTTACCGCAGCGTGATTTATAATTCCTTTACTTTCAACGCTGTTCAACCGTTTCGTTATAATTTCAATTCCTCTTTTTCTTTTTTTCTTTAATTCGACCATGCTGTAAAAAGATAATATTCCGTGTCTCGTTGCAAGTGTACGCGCGATTCTCTGTCGCGATACAATAAAAAAGAAGCTCGACATTAAGCTTAACAATCTGACATGTGCACATTACTTTCATCGTTGCGCCAGTTGCACTTTGAACAAGAAAACGTTGGTCGATTATGAATAATAGATTAGGAGAATAATGGCTCTATCACGTTGCCAATGACGCTTATGCATCGCGCGGCCTTTCGTTGGACCCGACGAAATTACGGAAAAATCATGAGACCGTGTGTGCTGAGTCGGATGATTTCTCGAACTCTATACCGGGGCATCGTGCAGTCCGAAAGCTTATCGTATTGCTAACTGCCAGCTGACATTTTATCACGCATGAAAAGATCTTGTTACGTTAGGCCACACACGCACACACTCCTCTTGCCGGACCACTGACGTCCAGAGTCTTCGTAATCGTTCTTCTTTTTTTCTCTTTTTCACGCAACATCTTAATACAATATTACGAAATTGTATAATTGCGTAATTGCATAATGAAATTGTAATAATAGCAATGGAAATCTCTTTTTGCAATTGCAAAGAGATATCAATGATAGTCTACGTGTTTGCAATTATAAATAATATCAATAAAAGCCTACGTTTTCGATTGCAAATAATATCAATAAAAGTCTACGTTTGCGATTGCAAAAAAATATCAATGAAAGTCTACGTTTGCAATTATAAATAATATCAATAAAAGACTACGTTTTCTATTGCAAATAATATTAATGAAGGTCTCTGCGTTTGCGATTCCAAAAATATATCAATGAAAGTCTACGTTTGCAATTATAAATAATATCAATAAAAGACTACGTTTTCTATTGCAAATAATATTAATGAAGGTCTCTGCGTTTGCGATTCCAAAAATATATCAATGAAAGTCTACGTTTGCAATTATAAATAATATCAATAAAAGACTACGTTTTCTATTGCAAATAATATTAATGAAGGTCTCTGCGTTTGCGATTCCAAAAATATATCAATGAAAGTCTACGTTTGCAATTATAAATAATATCAATAAAAGTCCACGTTTTCGATTGCAAATAATATCAATGAAAGTCTCTGCGTTTGCGGTTGCAAAAAAATATCAATGAAGGTCTCTGCGTTTGCGATTCCAAAAATATATCAATGAAAGTCTACGTTTGCAATTATAAATAATATCAATAAAAGTCCACGTTTTCGATTGCAAATAATATCAATGAAAGTCTCTGCGTTTGCGGTTGCAAAAAAATATCAATGAAAGACTGCGTTTGCAATTATAAATAATATCAATGAAAGTCTACGTTTTCGATTGCAAATAATATCATCGAAAATCTACGTCTTGCAATAATAAGTAATATCATCGCAAATCTACGCTTACAATTCCAAATACAGTAAATTTTGCCAAATTGACGCTTACTATAAAACGCACGTATCCCGTACACATGTAAATATCGGATATTTGAATGTTTGCTCCCAATCGTGATAATAGAAAATACGTATTTTATTTTACGCCGACATAAATATTCTTTGCAATAATAGAGTCCGCATAATGAAAAGTAGCAAAATATTGCAACTATCTTTATAACAATTAATGTTTGCTCCCGCTCGTTGTTCAAATTATCTAAATGCGTGACCGGACTTTCTTGATTTATTCTCACTTGTTCAGAGCATATACATATACATATGTTCTATTCTGAAGTTATGTTTAGTTTTATATTCCAACGACCATCGCGGATATAATAATCAATAATGCATAAACGAATCGATATAAAAACGAGTGGCAGGAAATGTTTGTTACGACAAGGAGACATCGACGACGCAATCGAAATCGTTTATAACTTATTCATTTATTGATCGCACGGTTCACATGTGTATGTATATCGCATTGTATGCATTATTAACATTAATACACAGAAATATACACGTATCGTGCAAAATCGAGCAAAATGAACTGTATAACAATATCTATCTCGTATAAAAAAAAAACAAACATAATTGCCGAATAGGCGTGTCCTTCGTTTTACGTCTCGAAGTATCTGTAAATTAGCAGCATCGCTTTCGCACGCATTACAATAACAATCGATCAACGCTTATGTATCTTTCAATTGAGATACCATTAATCAAGATTGGTTCCTATTAATTCACTTTTTATAAACTGATTTGTCGTACTCGATCACATCCGATACGCTATCTAATCGGTACAAATGTCTAATCGAACGACCATGTAGACCACAGCTAGGCACACATACATATACGTAATTGCAGAATGATCCGACAAACATGCGGCCGTTATGTTCCAATATGTATCGATGGTGCGACGCCTCAGTGTAAACGACAAGAATTATTTAGCACCAGAAAGTAGTAATAATAGTTAATATTTTGAAAGCTCGATAATTTTCTAATAATAATAATTATTTTAATAATAATAATAATAATAATAATAATAATAATAATAATAATAATACGTTGATCCAAATAATTTGTTGGATTTCGAATGAATTGTTGTCAGTTTCGCACAATTTTTCACTAAATAATAAATATTATAATATATATAATATAATATAAAATAAATATATAATTTATATAATATATATAATAATAATACTCGACCGTTGATTTTCTATTTAAAAAGGACTTCGAGGAAACTGCCGATAGACAAAGGGTTGAACAACGAACGAGTCCGAAAGTAATTCATTTCAGCCCTTTCGGTACAATTATTATACAGCAAGTTCTCCCTAATCGACGCTCAGATTGTCCACGAGAAAAAGGACAATTTAGGAAGAGAAGATATACGATTTGAGATACGATATACAAGATGTCCCAAAATTATGATACTTCTGGGAAATGAGAGGTTCCTGAGGTCATTCGAAACAACCTTTTCCTTAGCGAAAATGCGATCCGCGGCTTCGTTTACGAATTATTAACGAAAAACTCAGACCAATGAGAGGCGAGCGTCGGATGGCGCGGGGCGGCCCAGCCAACGAGCGCGCGAAGCCAGATTCCGCCCACTGGCTCGGCCGCCTCGCGCGTCAGCTGATCTCGCCTCTCATTGGCCACCGTTTCTCGTTGATATCTCGTAAACGAAGCCGCGGATTGCGAATGCGCCAAGGAAACAGTTGCTTCAAATAGCCTCAGGAATCCCTCATTTCCTGGAGATACCATAATTTTCAGACATCCTGTATCACGTTGACAATCGGTAACTATAAAAACGAGTCACAGGGCTCGAATAATCCCAAGATATACACAGAATAATCCCTAATAAATTTCCCTGATAAATAATAATCCGTAAAAGAATCGAACAGGGTGTGTTCGCAACCCCTGCATATAAGTCCGGCCGTTCGATCAACGGTCCGGCTAACCGAAAGCGGTAAGAACCGGTTAAGTAGATTGCACACAATCCTCCAGTTGACTTTTGCCGCTCGGACCGG